GGTGTGCATAAGAAGAGCCAAAATCAGTCAGACCATGAGTGCTTCTGGTCCCACCCAGGTTTTCTGAGTACAAAGTGTGGATCTTACCTCTCCAGTGGATGGAGGCAGCACAGCTGTGAGGCACAGGAGCACCACTGGAAGAATCATCTCTGAAAAGGGGAGAATAAGGATTTAACTTATTTTTTATGGAACTTTCATTTCTCCAAATACATAATGAATCTTTTGTGTATTTCCTGGCATTTTCTTAAGCAGAAAGGTAATGTTATCTTTCTCACCTTCACCTCTCCTCCCATTTTTAGAAGTAAAAAAATAAAATTCTTTCTCCCTTTACATTTCTAAATTTCTATGAATCAACTGCTTTTTATGTCTCGTACTTCCTGCTGTAATTCTAGCCAAATACCTTCACCTGAATTCACAGTACAGGAGAACATTCATACTTTCCCTTCTGTAAGAAGCCTTTTGCTCATTGCCACACTGTGGAATGGCTGGGATGGGATACTGCTTTTAGCTTGTTTCTGTGTCTGTTAGTCTGAAACTTCCCCTACTCCCCATTTGCCTGCTGTGACTGGACTGCATCAGCTGAAAGGGGAGTTAGACACTGAGCCCACGTGCAGACCTTGACACTTAGATGTCCCTCATTTAATGACCAGCACTGCAAAGCCTTGCATATGAGCTGGAGCATAACTGCCTGAACCAGAAAAGGACCAGCACTGGCTTCCTGGGAAAGACTTGTTTCAGAAAGCTTTTTTTTGGTTTTATGTTTTTTAAAGAAAACTCTTGATTATATTACAGGTAGTGTGGAACAGCCACAGAAATGAGAGCCTTCTCTAATTGAAGAAGCAACCACCAAACCTGGCACTCCATGACTCTACTTGCTTAGGACACTCAAAGCACCACAGTGTCCTACTACAGTGATCCAGGAGGTCACTTCAAACTTCAGGTGTCTGATTGCACTCAATCATAGGGCTTACATTAGTCTCTTTCCTACTTAGGTACCTTGGGCAGGCAAGCAGGTAACTCAAGTGGAATTTACTTATTTTGGCTTTTTTCCCAACCTTCTACTCCAAGGGAATTTATGGGCATGATGCCACAGAGTTTTATTATTAGCTTCTTACTTGCTTTTGAGAGGCTGCAGTTTTAGTTTTAATTTATTCTTGGGGAAAGGCCAATAGGTTTTGCTGATTTTTCCATATTCAGCAAAGCCCTTTTACCTCAAGGCAAACACTTTATATAAAGCACAAGGTGCTCCAGCTCATAGAGAACATGTGGGTTAAAAAATCCTACACTTTTCCAACTGGTTCAGCAAAGCTTATTTTCCTCAGCAGCTATCTTACATTGCACTGGAGGCAATCCCCAGTCCCCAGACTGTAGGCAGGGGAGCTGCTCCAGCTCTGCTGAACAGCAAAGCCTGTTGAAGTGGGCTGTGACTATGGGCAGCTGTAGCTCAGAGGCCCAAAAGCTGGACAGATTGTCCTCATCTGTACAATTAAACTCTCACAGCCTCCTAAATAAGGTAGCTTATTCCAAGCACTTAGAGTTGAGGAAAGATTTAGTTGATGTGGGGGAAAACATATTGATAATTAACAGCATAAGTAAATTGTTTCCTGCTCTTGGTATTGCTTTATGCCATTCATGTTTATTTTTGACATCACCTATGTCTCCTTGAAGTGCTTTGAGATCACATAAGTTTTTTCTTACTAACTTTTCCAGCACTTATTTCTCAGACCCATTAAAAAAAACCTGCAGTATATATGACCTAGGTGTTTAGCAATAAAAGATTATGCTCCCAATAACATGAAATTTTTTTCTTTTCCCTTCATTTCTAACAAGAAAGTAAATAGAGGTGGAGGTTATTTTTAGCTGTACTCAAGTTACAAGAAAAAAATACATCTTTTGAGTGCAAAATGTGATGATATGCAAATAGAAAACAACCCTTTTTGCACCTAAAACATGTAGAAACAAATTCTTGTTTCAGTGGAAAAATAACTCTTCACTGAAATTGTTAAGCTTTCTATTTTGCAAACCAAACTGAAGAAGCTAACTTAAAGACATGAGCAAAGTATTCATTCACTGTAATATTTTCTATGAATTAACTTATAATTAAATGTAATAGGTAATTTAATACATGATACAAGTTTCAAAGTGCCATTGGAATGCTTTTTAAGACCCAGTGGGTTTCCTGCTCCAAGATATTAACATACTTTTGGCAATCCCACTGATTTCTACCAAATGCTTATAGTTTATGAGATGTAAATTTAATTGCTCTGCATTAATTTCTAGGCACTGGTCCTAAAATCAGTCTCTCTGTCCCCCTCCCCTGTTCCCCCTCAATCAAACACAAATCAGGACATGTGCCAAGTCCTACTGACTTTCCTGCAACTCCATCTGTGTACAGGGATCTGCCACTGAAAGATGGTGCTTTAGCATCCCTAGTTTATGAGTTTAGCAAACTTGTATGAATATGCTTTTCCCATCCCTCCTCCTGCAAAAAAAAAGGTGTATTCCAAATTATTCATACAACTGAATATGTACCACAAAAGAACACTCCCATTATTTTTTATTATCCTTGAAATAGACCTGAAATAAAATAATATTAGCTGTGATTTCATTTGTACAACATTGCTGCACAAAGTCCTACTTAACAACCACCTTGCACAAGAGTAGTAAATTGTACAAGGTGGCAATTTCCCCACTCTGAAAATAAATGGTGATAGTTATGTATAGCAATAGAATATACTGAACTGAATATATATTCAATTCAATATGTTCAGTTTGTCTCTCTTTCCTCCTCCATGTACATAATAATCTGCCAAGATTCTGCTTTCTTTCATACAGGAGACTTTTCATCTGTTTTTGATTGTTCATCAATTTTCTCTCCCTTTTTTCAGCACGTGTTACAATATTGCCCATGTAATCCTTATTTTTCACTGAATAAAATCCTCTTTCTGTGTCTGTCCTAAATTGCTCAAGAAGTTTTCTGACAATAGGTTGCATTTTAATACATGAAAAAAAAAA